CCAACCCCGCTCCTCCCACCGCCTACCCCTCTCCTCCCACTGCCAACTCCGCTCCTCCCACCACATACACCGCTCATCCCACCGCCTACCCCCTCCTCCCACTGCCTACCCCGCTCATCCCACCGCCTACCCCCCTCCTCCCACTGCCTACCCCGCTCATCCCACCGCCTACCCTCCTCCTCCCACCGCCAACACTGCTCCTCCCACCGCCTACCCCGCTCCGCCCACCGCCTACCCCGCTCCTCCCACCACCTAACCCCTCCTCCCACTGCCTAGCCCCTCCTCCCACCACCTACCCAGCTCCTCCCACTGCCTACCCAGCTCCTCCCACCGCCAACACTGCTCCTCCCACGACATACACCGCTCCTCCCACCGCCTAACCCCTCCTCCCACTGCCTAGCCCCTCCTCCCACTTCCTACCCCGCTCCTCCCACCACCTAACCCCTCCTCCCGCTGCCTAGCCCCTCCTCCCACCACCTTACCCCCCTCCGCCCACCGCCTCCACAGCCAGCAGCTCCAGAGGAGACAATAGCACCCAGCCCTGCCGGGTCTTCACCATCCCCCCAGACCTCCCCCTGACTGAGGACAAACGGTCAGTCCTCAGTAGAGGGCTCACCTTTGTCCCCCTCCACCCACACATCAACAAATACCGCTCACGTTTGGACATTGAGCAGTTTTTCTGCCGCCTCCGCCTCCACGCTTACTTCTTTAACCGTGAACCTAACCCTCCCTCTACTGACCCCTTCTCCCGCCTCCAACACACCCCCTCCTCCTGGACACCACCCCAAGGCCTCCTACCCTCCCTCGACCTCTTCATCTCCAACTGCCGTCGAGACATCAATCACCTCAACCTCTCCACCCCTCTCACCCACTCCAACCTCTCCCCAGCAGAACGTGCAGCCCTCCACTCCCTCCGCTCCAATCCCAACCTCACCATAAAACCCGCGGACAAGGGAGGCGCAGTTGTAGTATGGCGCACTGACCTCTATATCGCGGAGGCCGGACGCCAACTCTCCGACATCTCTTCCTACCGCCCCCTTGATCATGACCCCACCCCTGAGCACCAAACCATCATCTCCCAAACCATCCACAACCTCATCACTTCAGGTGACGTCCCACCCACAAGATCCAACCTCATTGTTCCCCAACCCCGCACTGTCCGTTTCTATCTCCTTCCCAAAATCCACAAACTTGACTGCCCTGGTCGACCCATTGTCTCCGCCTGCTCCTGCCCCACTGAACTTATCTCCACTTATCTGGACTCCATTTTCTCCCCCTTGGTCCAGGAACTCCCCACCTACATCCGTGACACCACCCACGTCCTCCACCTCCTCCAAAACTTCCGATTCCCTGGTCCCCAACACCTCATCTTTACCATGGACGTCCAGTCCCTATACACTTGCATTCCTCATGCAGATGGCCTAAAGGCCCTCCGCTTCTTCCTGTCCCGCAGGCCTGACCAGTCCCCCTCCACTGACACCCTCATCCGCTTAGCCAAACTCGTCCTCACCCTTAGCAACTTCTCCTTCAATTCTTCCCACTTCCTACAGACAAAGGGGGTGGCCATGGGTACCAGCATTGGCCCAAGCTATGCCTGGCTCTTTGTAGGTTACGTGGAACAATCCCTCTTCCGAAGCTACTCTGGCCCTATCCCCCACCTCTTCCTCCGTTACATCGATGACTATATCAGCGCCGCCTCGTGCTCCCACGAGGAGCTTGAACAGTTCATCCACTTCACTAACACCCTCCACCCCAACCTTAAGTTCACCTGGACGATCTCCAATACCTCTCTCCTTCCTGGACCTCTCTGTTTCCATCTCTGGCAACCACATGGAAACCGATATCCATTTCAAGCCCACCGACTCCCACAGCTACCTAGAATATGCCTCCTCTCACCCACCTTCCTGTAAAAATACCATCCCCTATTCCCAATTCCTTCGCCTCCACCGCATCTGCTCCCAAGATGATGCATTCCACTCCCGGACATCCCAGATGTCCTCGTTTTTGAAGGACCGCAATTCCCCTCCACAGTGGTCGAAAATGCCTCTTACATTTCCCGCAACTCATCCCTCACACCCCCTCCCCGCAATAACAACCAAAACAGAATCCCCCTCATCCTCACGTACCACCCCACCAACCTCCGGATCCAATGCATCATCCTCCGACACTTCCGCCATCTGCAATCTGACCCCACTACCAAAGACATTTTTCCCTCCCCACCCTTATCTGCTTTCCGGAGGGACCACTCTCTCCGGAACTGCCTCGTCCGCTCCACACTCCCCACCAACCCCAACTCCCCCAGCACTTTTCCCTGCAACCGCAGGAAGTGCTACACGTGCCCCTAATCCTCCCCCTCAGCCCCATCCCAGGCCCCAAGAAAACCTTCCACATCAAACAGATGTTCACCTGCACATCTGCTAATGTGGTATACTGTACCCACTGTTCCCATTGTGGCCTCCTCTACATCGGGGAAACCAAGTGGAGGCTTGGAGACCGCTCGGTTCGCGACAAACGACTGCACCTCCCAGTTACAAACCATTTCAACTCCCCCTCCCACTGGTCCATCCTGGGCCTCCTGCTGTGCCACAACGATGCCACCCGAAGGTTGCAGGAACAGCACCTCATATTTTGCTTGGGAACCCTGCAGCCCAATGGTATCAATGTGGACTTCACAAGCTTCAAAATCTCCCCTCCCTCGATCGCATCCCAAAACCAGCCCAGCTCGTCCCGGCCTCCCTAACCTGTCCTTTCTCCCACCTATCCCCTCCTCCCACCTCAAGCCCCACTTCCATCTCCTACCCACTAGCCTCATCCCGCCCTCTTGACCTGTCCGTCTTTCCTGGACTGACCAACCCCCACCCTACCTCCTCACCTACACTCACCTTTACTGGCTCCATCCCCGCCTCTTTGACCTGTCTGTCTCCTCTCCACCTAGCTGCTCCTTTATCCATCTTCTATCCGCCTCCTCCTCTCTCTCTATTTATTTCAGAATCCCCTTCCCCTCCCCCATTTCTGAAGAAGGATCCAGACGCGAAACATCAGCCTTCCTGCTTCTCTGATGCTGCTTGGCCTGCTGTGTTCATCCAGCTCTACGCCTTGTTATCTCAGTTTCTCCAGCATCGGCAGTTCCTACTATCTCCAAGTACATATTTGTGCTTATTTCTGTAAAGCCACCATCTTACTTGTTGAATGATAGTCTGCAGCCTTACCTCCGAGCCAGGAGGCCTGGCTTCAAGTCCCACCTTCTCCAGAAGTGAATAATAATGTCTCTGAGCGTGTTGATTAAAAATATCTTCAGATGGTCAGTGCAGACTCGATGGGCTGCTTTCTGCACTGTAGGGATTCTATGATTCTGTGACCTGCAGCGCTTACCAACAGTGACAGCTGACACCTGTTATCCCTGGGCTATAAATATTTGACCCTATGTCATGATTGCACCCTCTCTTTTGACTCCATCCTGGGATGTTGGCGGCTTGGCCAGCAATTTAAGAAGGTGGTCGTCAGCTGTCTTCTTGAACCATTGCAATGCATGTGGCATCAATATGACCACTGCTGTTTCAGAGAGGGGAGAGGTAAGTGGAATTGTAAGGCAGCAATTTGGAAACATGCAAAGGAAGGGAAACCAACTAGAATAAGTGGCATAAGCATCACTCATGTTTAATGGCATCAGCACTCTGATCAAAGCGAAGTAATCAGCACTTTCCTTTTCATGTCCAGGGATTGCTTTAAGGAAAGCAGAGTCAAAGTACATATCCACTTGTTTTCAGCCAAAATGGTGTTGCCTGTACTATGCACTATAAATATCTGTAAGTGTCACCATAAGTATTAATGATTGGCACATGATCAAACACAGAAAGAAGGAAAACGATGCTTTCAGATCACATTGAGCACAGAACGC